TGGGGGGCAGTGTGTGTATGGGGGCAGTGTGTGTAATGGGGGAGCAGTGTCTGTGGGGGGCAGTGTAATGGGGGGGCAGTGTGTGTGTAATGGGGGGGCAGTGTGTGTGTAATGGGGGGGAGGAGGCTTTTTAATAATATATATATTTTTTTTAATAAAATATTCTATGTCCCCCCTCCCTTCTTACCTTTATTTAGGAGGAGGGGGGACATTTCCCTGGTGGTCCGGTGGGGGATTCATTGGTGGTCTCAGTGGGGAGAGTGAACTCTAGCCCGCGCTCCCGGGCTAGAGTTCACTCTCGCGAGATTTGGAGCGTTGCCGTGGTAACCGCGGCAACGCTCCAAATCTCGAGAGAGGAGGACCCGGAGGAGCTGCAGACTGAGCTCCGGGTCCTCTCTCTCTCCTCCCTCCCTCCGCCGCCGGCTGTCAGCACGGTGCCTGCGGACCGGGGAGGGAGAGCTCTGATCTTCCTCCCCGGTCCGCAGGCACATTGCAGGGTTGGCACTTGGGCAATGCCAGCCCTGCGTTAGCCGGCAGGGGGGAATCTCGGGGGGGGGCAATTGCCCCGTTGCCCCCCCCTGGATCCGCTAATGGAATGAACGACAGGTGGCTTGCCAATCAAGCCAGTTCACCATGCGGGGAGCCATGTTTTTTGTGCTCTCTGCAGGGTCCTAGTGCCGAGTTCAGCGTGAGTGCACTGATGCTTCACTTTTTATAGACAGTTCCCTGTTGTCCCCAAAAGTGGGATACCAGGGAACAAAGGCGAGACAGGACCAGAAAATCAGGACTGTCCCACCAAAATTAGTATGGTTGGGAGGTATACTACCATTATTGCTACTGGAAAAGTTGTCAGCTCTGATTATAAAACAAATTGCAGTCAGTGATGAGGCTTTGCTGTTAACTAGTAAATAATGTAAGCACAATTTAAGAGGGGCCTGTGTTTATTTCTCTACTGACTGTGCACAAGTTAAACAGCATGGATCTGGTTATAGTTTGATTGTGCACCACTGCAAATGAGGTAAACATTAGTATTATTATTTTTACCTTTAGTGCAACAAAACTACATTCAGAAATCGACATAGTTAATAAATGGAGATAATCATTTAGTTAATATTAACGGTTTTATTTTATGAAGTTGTTAGCTTAGGTCCTGCATTATATTTTCTGCTGTTTTTAAAGTGTTTTTTTGTTTGTTTGTTTGTTTATGTTTTTAGAGTTTTTTTTGTTTCTTTTGTTTGCTTTATCTAGTACCTGGTTTCTCAACATTTGGGTCACATACCCCAGGAAGTACATGCCAAAAGGACGAGGCAAAGCCGGAGCAGATGGAGCCAGGCCAGTGTGACCATAAAAGTGTCTGCCTTAGTGAGCACAAGCTCGGGAGACGCAAGATCCAAGTGAATGGTGTGATGAAAGTGCAAAGTACAACATTTCCCCTTCTGCCAGTTACTTGGGGGATCAATGAAACACACAAATGAGCTTGGATAATAAAAGACATTTAAAGGGGCGTGGAGAATAAGAGACAGACAAAGGGAGTTGTAAGAGACACAAAGGGGAATAAAAGGGCATAAGATACACTAGAGGAGGGTAAGACATTGAAAAGAGGATATAACAAGGTATCCATTATCGATGCAGAAATATCAAGTACCCAAGATACGGGGCATTTACTTTATTTTCAAATAATACAGATTTAGTTTTCAGATTGAGTCTTCGATATTTTGCCCTAAAGCTATACATTTGTGTGTCATTTTCCTCTGTGTGTAAATGTGTGTTTCAATGTCCTCTGTCAGTGTTTACAAGTTTAATTTGGTATTTAAATCAATAGAAATTACTTTCTCAGGCAGGTATACCTGGGAATTTTTTTTTTAGATCAGCGGGGGTACTTCTCCGTAAAAGGTTTAGAAACACTGGTCTAGTACACATGTTCCTTCAGCTAGAATGGAGTGTTCTCCAACGCATCATAACTTTATTTATCTTCTATCATAAGAACATACATAACTTATACATACATAACTTTATTTATCTTCTATCATAAGAACTAGAACTACAGGGGGCGGGATGACGTGATCGTGCACGCACATACGAGGCACGCTCTGTAGCAGGGAAGCCTCTTGAGGGAGCGTTCTATGGGTCTCTGTGATGGTTCCGGCGTCTGCATTGAAAAGGCTACCCCTCCGACGGCAAATGGTGACCTTCTACTTTCCCAGACACAGCCATCTTTTTACTGTTGCCCCTGAAAGAGGCTCTGCTAATTTTGGTACCTGGACTTCGGATATCTGAAATTTTGTTATGCTTTGAAGTGGGATTGTAGATAAGAGAGGCTTCCAAACCGGATGGTTTCTACATCAGCGTTATTATAGCGGCAGCCTCGAGGAGAGGAGCTTTTTCTGACACTTGGCATAAGGAGAGGTTTAACACGGAAGATGCAAACTTTAAACAGATAAGTGTGAATCTACGATTGAAATCCATTGAGAAAAAGCTATACTTCTATAACCTCTAAGAATTGTTAAATAACAAGTGAGAAATATGACTGTAGGTAGTATCAACCTGTCATTTAGTTTGGTTAGTATTGTGACCACGTGGAGACGCCATGCAAGTAATCTGTAAATAGAAAGATGTCCTGAACAGCTGAATCTTCACAAACTGAAGTTCCCCAAATATCCCTATATTTGAAGATAAAGGGTCTCAGATAAAGATATAATATTGGGCTAGGAGCTAGGTGAAGCCCAAGTATCAATCCTATCTCAAAGCCTTATATCTGAAGAAAATAGAAGAACCCATAGTGAAGATTATATTGTGTGTTGGCAGATAAATCTGACTCAGATTCATATGTATATTTCTTGAGACCTGGGACTTTTTTTTAAGTATAAATCAGCAAATATAGCGAATCAGATAAAACTGGTTGAAACCCAGTAATACAAATTTACTTGGAAAAGAAGAAAGACAGACGGAAAAGAGAGAGAAAACAATAGGAAATATGCCTTGTTTATGCCTTTGCATTATACAGAATAAAATCATGTTTAATGAAAGCTTTTATGGATTTAAAACAAAAACCTGAACAATTTAAAGACCTAAAAAAATTCAGGATCTTTCCTTTTTCACAAGATCTGCTAGGAGAAACTTCAAAAAAGAAGCAGAGGAAATGCAAACAAAAGGCATCAAATATAGCTGTAGATTCCCTGCTAGTCTGATCGTCCATAAGGAGGGTGTCAGATTAGTATTTAAAAATCGACAAGAAGCAAAAGAATGGCTAGAAAAACAAGAATGAGCTACAGAGACAGGAGTAATATTGAAATTCAAAGAGGGGAAGGGAGCAATCTGGATAATCGAGAGGAGAAATTTTAGGGAGGAAATATTTTTTTTCCTCCATCTTGATAGTTAAGAGTAAATTAAATACTAATAAAACACAAATTTTCACTTTCACTTAAATAATACTCTGAGCTTAATAACAGAGATTTATATTTAAAATTAAATTATTACTCACTAAAATAATAAACAAATATATTGGAAAATAATAACAAAATTTAAAAGATAGGTCTCTGCACATAAAATGACGAAAGAGGTAAAAGGAAACAGATAAATAATTTCAATGACATGAGAACGGCACATCCTTTATGGGAGATTTCACAAATGGATATATAGTTTCAAATATCACATAAAATGATTTGTATAAGAATCTGTTTTTTAAAGAGAAGATTTAGTGGGCAAGTAAAGAAGTTAAACACTTAAATAGATTTGTATAATATAATGAAGGATATTAAATAAAGATGGGGGAAATTATTCAAAATTAGTAAGTTATAAATTATGTTTTTTCTTTCTCCCTAACCCTAGTATATAATTTGTTTGTTTTTTTTGTTTTGTTTTTTTATTATTATCCATTATGTTATTTATGTATATGTACCCTTCATTGGAATCTCTTTAAATGCTCCCTCAAGAGGAAAGTCTTCCCTGTATGTAGGTCTTTGGACCTTTTTCCTATGCATTGTAGTTGTAAGAGGGGCAATGCATTTGCCAAGATCTCTGCGGGTTATAGAGATATGGCATTTTATGTTACATGTTTTATGTTGTCCGTAAACGATGGAAATATATTTTTGTTAATACTGATAAGCAATAATGGAAACAAAAAGCAAATAGAGGAGAAGGAGGCGGGGGAGGATTTATGAGAATATGGTTACATTTTTGTCCTTGAATATTCAGGGATTGAATTCTCCTAACAACAGGTCACTTCTCACAAGTCTCTTACAGAAAGAAAAGATTGATATATGAATGATCTAAGAGACACATTGGGTAACAAAAGATCTGGATAAAATGAAGTTTCAGGGATATACTGTATTAGCCAATTCCTCAATGATGAACGAAAAAAAAGAGGGGTTTCTATTCTGGTTATGAATGACCTAACGGTTGAAATTTTATACCAGGAAAATGATATAGATGCTAGATATAATCTGCTGATTTGCAGTATAAATCTGAAACTAATGACTTTGATAAATGTATATGCTCCTGCTAGAGAACAGACAAGTACATTGTATAAAATAATGGATATAACTGAGAAAGTTAGGAAAGGACCGGTTATATGGGCTGGGGATTTTAACATGGTAATTGAACCTAGTTTAGATAAAATGCTACCAAATGGCTCTGTTATATCCAGAGAGATAGTTAAACAAGCACAAAGCCTTAACAGATTTGTTAGGAGAAATGGCCTCCATGATGTAAAAAAGATTTCACACATTGGTCCAGGGTACATAATTAATTTTCCTGAATAGATCTGGTCCTGTGTGAATCTATACTTTTACAAAAAATAAATAATATCGGTTTTATCGAAATAACATGGTCAGATCATAACGATATATTTTTGGACATAAAGGATCAGGAGGAAAAGAGGTCCTGTACAGCATGGAGTCTTAATGAGACTCTTGTAGATTCGGAGGAGAATTGTAACCATTTGAAAGAAATAACAAAGTTTTTTTTTAATGAAAATACAATCTTAGATATCTCGCCTGAAACAATATGGTCTACATGTAAATGTGTTGTAAGGGGGCATTTAATCCAAATGGGAGCTAGAGCTAAAATAGAAAAAGGTTTATCTATAGCAGATCTATATATAGCCCTCTCCAAAGAAAATGAGACAAATAAGGCAAACCCCTCTGACATATCGGCTTTTCCGTATTGGTGAACTTAGAGAGCAAATAAATCAAAGATTATTGGATAATGTAAAGGCCAGCCTAAAAAAACTTAGTCAGATCTACTACTCTAAAGCAAATAGGGCAGATAAAATCCTGATGGCCAAATTAAAAACCGTTCTGCGACCCAAAGAATATATAATATCAAGCAAAGGGGAAAATATCTATTCCCCTCAGTAAATTGGCGAAGCTTTTGGAACTTTTTATCAAAATATGTATAATTTAAAAACCCTTAAAACAAATCAAGAGTATCTAGAGAAATGTGGTTTATCTACCCTTACAGATGATCAAATTAGAGATCTTAATCAACCAATAACGAAAGAGGAAGTAGGTTTAACCATAGATAGAATTAAAAAAAACAAAGCTCCAGGTCCAGATGGATTTCCTGGAATATTCTATATAACCACAAAAGTAGAAATATGCAAACATCTTGCAAAATTGTTTAATTTTTTTTCTCAGAAAGAAGTGTAAAATCAGCAGAACTACTGCAGGCAAATATAATACCCATACTGAAAAACAAAAATGATCCCACTCAAATTGAAAATTATCGTCCAATTTCATTGATTAATGGTGATATAAAAAATATATTCAGCCATTATAGCTGATAGACTGAAACCCATAATTTCATCTTTAATACATACTGAGCAAACAGGATTTGTAATGGATAGATATCCTTCTGACAATATCCGTAGAGTAGTAGATCTGACTGACCGATCAAATTGAAGGATGGAACAGACTATCTTATTATCACTCAATGCAAATAAAGCTTTCGATAGAGTCAGCTGGAACTTATTGTTCCAAACATTAAGGAATAGAGGTTTAAAAGGTTGGATATTACAAGCAATTCTAGCTCTATTTACTTATCCCTCAGCCAGGATAATAGGATCGGAAATTATTTCTCCCTGGTTTAAGGTTCAAAATGGGACAAGGCAGGGCTGCCCCCTCTCCCGCATGTTGTACATTCTTACTCTAGAGCCTCTTTCCCAATATATCAGAATGAATAAAAAGGAATTAAAGGAATCCAATATGGTGATAAAGAGGCAAAATTAAGTCTATATTCCGATGATGTCATAATGACATTAACAGATCCTTTAAATTTGATTAAATCCCTACTTAAAGAATTAGAATTATTTGGAGATATGTCAAATTATAAGCTCAATACATCTAAGTCAATCATTATGAGCTTAAATCTAGACCTGGAAACCCAAGATAGATTAAAGGAAGAATATACTTTTAAGTGGACTACAGATAACATTGAATATTTTGGTATAAATATTACTTCTCATCCGAAAAACTTAATAAAGGTCAACTGGGAGGTTTAGTTAAACAAGACTTCTATAATACTCAATGACTGGAAGCCCTTAGAACTTTCATGGTTGGGATGTATTAACGTCATAAAATGCTATGTGCTATCAATATGGAACCATCTTTTTGGGGTTCTCCCTTCATATATACATAGATTGAATTTAACTAGAATACAAAGAACCTTTTCTGAATATATATCTAATGGCAAAAAGCCAAGAATAAAGAGAAAGACCTTAGAGAAAAGTAGAGGAGGCCTATCAATTCCTAACATTAAAAGGTATCATGACGCTGCCATTCTTAAACATAAACGGTTCTTATATGAAAGAGATAACCTCCGAATTCCATATCCCCGCAAAATAAGTTTTTCGTTACCTCAGAGTCAAAAGTTATGTTCGTTAATATTTATGTAAAAAAGATAAGTAAATTCTGGGCTTGGATTGTCTTTTAAAATATGGTGATAAAGTTAGTACCCTGATGAAAAGCTCTCCTTTTGAGGATGAAGATCCTTCTATAATAGATCCAGTAAAAAATATAAATAAATGGGAAATAGAAAATAGAGATCGGTACTTTGCACTGGTATAAGATCATACCAGAAACTAAAAAAATGTATACACTGCCTTAATCTTATAGAGTTACAATACAAGATACTGACAAGATGGCACTTAGTTCCAAAGAAAATCAATAAAATGTTCCATACATATGCCATTTTCTGTTGGCGTTATAATCATGCAGAAGGTTTTTATACTCATATCTGGTGGAATTGTCAGAAGTTAAAAACTATTTGGGAACTAACATATAACATTCTAGAGGATGTCACGAGTATTGGTATGGCATTCTCCCCCCAAACAGCTTTATTACATCTTGAATGGCCCCTAAACAGCTTTATTACATCTTGAATGGTCCCTAAATTGACCCTAAGGGACACTAAACAACTCATATTTTGATAGCTGCAAAAAAAAAAAGCATTGTTAAACTCTGGAAACAGAGTGATCCCCCTACGTAGGGAATACTTAAAACACAAATCTCCTTCCAACTAAGGATGGAGCCGGAGATTTCTCCTATTACTAAATATGGATGGAACATATGGAAAAATGATATTAAAGATGTATAAAGTATGACTCCTGGTCTTTGGTATATGTCTTTCAGAGAATTTCCTCTGTGTTTTTCTTTATAGCTGTATCTCTTGTGCCTATTCTCTCGGGTTATTTTCAGATACCCTCCCCCACCTACTTCTCTCTCCGCAATAAGATCTTTCTTTTAAAATCCTAAATTAAAACTATGATATATAAATACAGGGCATCTATTGGGAAGATCTATTTTTTGATACTGCTTGTTAACTTTATCTCTGAATAGTAATCATCGTTTAATTATTTGTCTATTTCTCTTTTGTATGTCTTTGGTTTTTGTTTGCTATGTTTTGTGGATATAATTTTGATCTGTAAGCATATATATTAATATCTGACATGTATAATATTAGTGTTAAGATAGTTAGGTTTGATCTGGATGTCAAATTTTTGTACTCTATATACTTGTCTGTTAAAAAAACTTTATCTACTGAAAAATCACAACTGGATTTAACTTCATTCAGCTAATGTAAACTGCAACAGTAGGTTGAAATTTTCAATCTATATATTTTTGCATGTGATGATGCAAGTAAATTAAAGTTCAAATAGAAGTATTTTTGTGATCAAGAATCCCTAAAGGTGACGCAGAGCTGAGTCTGTAAATGGTTTTCCAAGATGATAGTCAATACAATTTGTCATAACTAAGGGAAGAATAACAAGAGTGGCATAGTGAGGTGAAACATTTGTGAATCTGGCAATTGTTTAATAGATAAGGTACAGTGTCATCGTTTTTCTGCTGGTTTACACATTTGCTCCAAAAATGTAATTACACTTTATATTTTCCACATGCGCTCTAACACTTCTTTCAGCCCTGGGTATTTGTCTACTTTCTTATGTTTGCACTTCTTGATGTTATGGTCACTGAGTATTGCCACATCCACCACCACTGCAGTCTTCCAATACTTGTCCACCACCTCAATGTCTGGTTGGTTGGCGAGTACTTGTGTGTTTGTCTGGATCTGCACATTGTGTGATAGATTAGATGGAAGGCTGAGCAATTCCCCAGCAGTGATATAAGAAATGATTGCTGTTTTGAGGGAGAAGTACAGTATTTTTTTCCTTCAGTACAATCTGCAACCTGACTCATCTTTATGAAGCAATCAATGGCTGCAGCTAAAACCACTAAGTACCCTGTGCTAAGATTACACTGTCAACTCTATAGTGTGCTAGGTACCACATGTTTTCTTTGTCTAGTCATAACAACAATCACTGGAAGCAGTTAAAAAACAAAGGTCTGTATAATGTAAAGGAGTGCTTAAGGGAACAAATACATATCCTTAACACAATAGTACCCTAGTCACCGTTTAGATGAGCAGGTCAGCACTGCCAGGGTTAAAAAGGGTATTTACTCACCTTTCATCCCTCGCCATGCTGCTCTCTTCATGACCGGTGTATAGTCGCCATATGAGCATTCGTAACCTTGGACAAACCCTCCACACACCTTTTCCAATAAAACACGGACACTAGGGTATATGGGTAAAGTTGTCCACAGCTTTTATTAAATAGTAATAACTTAACATAGAAAAATTAGGTCATTGCCCTATACCCCACCTTCACATCATTATCCTTCTGTTAGATATAAAAGGCAATGACCCCACTATAAATAACATTTATATATAACATTATTCCAACCTGAACAAAACTTAAAGTTCCAACAATTTATTATAAACTAACCATGGTAGGGGTATACCCGGATGCATCTACCTCACCAGGTTCTGAGCCACCTACAGGACTCGAAACCTACAGACTTACCAATAATCACATTTAACTATTTCCATAACCTTCCTAATGGGGAGCCTATTTCCTCTCCTTCAGCTCACTGTCCCGCCACAAGCTCAGACCTAGAACCCTTAAGCCGTCTGAGCTCCGCCAACCCGAACAAACTGCGCTTTCAGGCCTACTCCTCCCCCCCCCAGCTACCATACGAAACACACCATTACAAGGGACTCTCTTATGGCGACGATTGCTGTTATCCCAAAAGAAGGTAAAGACCCGACCAGCTGCGCCAGTTATAGACCGATATCGCTTCTAAACGCGGATCTAAAGGTCTTCACGAAGATACTTGCCACTCGTGTCGGTGGAGTTCTCCCAGAACTGGTGAACCCCGATCAGGTGGGCTTCATCCCCTGGAGGGAAGGGAGAGACAATACCAAACGTGCTCTAAATGTCATCCACGCTGCCAGTTTGGCTCAGAAGCTCATACTGCTCTCCATCGATGCGGAGAAGGCCTTTGATCGAGTGGACTGGTGTTATCTGAAGGCAACGCTACAGACGATGGGCTTCAGTCCACAAATGATGACCTGGATATCCTCGCTATACACAATCCCAACGGCTAGAATATGGGTCAATTGGGCCCTCTCTGCACCTGTCCACATACACATTGGGACGAGACAGGGCTGCCCACTCTCCCCTCTCCCGTTTGCCCTCTCCCTGGAACCTTTCCTGGGTGGCGGTCAGGCGGGATGGGGGAAAAGGTGGGTTTGCCCTACGGGGAACGACACACAAGGTGGCCGTGTATGCGGATGACATGCTATTTTTCATCAGCAATCCCTTGGTCTCCCTGCTGAACCTGCTGAGAGCCTTCACAGAATATGGGTTGATATCTAACATGAAACTGAACACAGAAGTCAGAAGCCATGCCCATATCGATGGCGGAAACAAATGTCGCCCATCTGCGCTCCCAGTTCGCATTTATCTGGTGCCGAACAAAGCTTAAATACCTTGGGATCTGGCTCACTGGCATTGGTCTTGGACCGGGCCAAGTGAACCACGATCTTCCCTTCCTGCACGTGCATCCCAGACACCTGAAGACCCCCACCGGCCACCCCAATTAGCAGTTACAAATTCCCTGATCCAGAATGCACCAAGGAAGGCCAGGAGAAACGCCGCACTAAACAGCAGCCCCTCAAACTAGTCAAAACATACCTCGGGTAACACCCCTGTGAGACCCCTTAACACCTTCACAGACACCGGCCTCCAAGCATTGGGCATCTGGCTTCCCTTCCTTTGTAAGATCCTCCCACCCGTGTAACTTAAACCAAATGCCAGGGCTGACATATTCCTATCTACCACCATTGGGGATGGGTTCCCTGCTAACAACTGAAATGTAAACCAGAGTAATGCGTCTAGCCGTGACTCCCCCACCAGTGCCTGAACCAACCCAGCCCACGAGTGTTCCCATGCTGCCCAGACCTTACTGTATAATGCCCAGGTGCCCGGTGCCCCAGAGGCACTCACGTTTCCCCCAAGCAGGACGCTCCAAGCTGCCACATCTCGTCCGGGCACGCCTGCCCTACCTCTTGCGCTCCAGGCGCCACCGTCCAAAAACCGAGACCACTGCAAATGAGATAAAGCGTCAGCGACCACGTTCAAATACCCTGGCACATGCCTCGCACAGAAAACCACATTGAGCGATATGCAGAGCAAGACAAAGCGCCGCAACAAACGTACCACTGGCTTCGATGACGCCAACAGATTTGTAACCGCGTGTACCACAGCCATGTTATCCGAGAAGAAGACTAGCTTACGGTTCCGAAGCTTGTCACCCCATAAGGCCAGCGCCACCACCAAGGGGAACAACTCCAAGAATGCCAGGTTATGAATGAGGGGGCTTTCACCCCACTCCGCCAGCCAACGCTGTGCGCAAGAGAGGCCACCAAAACAAGTCCCGAAGCCCACGCTACCTAAAGCATCCATGAAGAGCTCGAGCTCCTCAACCAAGACCGCCGCCTTCCAAAAGACACCGTACTGTTAGGCTCCGGCTAAAGATTCGCCCCATCAGATTCACCCTGCAGGCAAAGCTGGGCTTCCCGAGGAGTGATTGCAGTTGCCAAAGGGTCCTCCGCAATGACTCCCCTCAGCCCCACTAGCTTATCCTGAGGCAGCCGACACTCCCCTTGTACCGAATCAATTTCGAGACCCAAGAAACTGAGACACTCCGTCGGGCCCTCGTCTTACCTGCCGCAAGCGGTACTCCGAACTGCCCTGCCACACACGCAGTAGGTAAAGACTTGCAGATGAGTTCGCCGGTCCCACACAGAAAAAAATCATCCAGGTAGTGCACCATCAACTTACTCCCCACCTCCATCCAAAAAGGAACTGAATGTCTCAAAGTAGCAGCAAGAAATCGAACAGCCCATAGGAAGACACAAGTCGATGAAATACCCCCCATCAAAGTAACAACCCAGCAGGTGGTGACAGTCCGGGTGAATGGGCAGCAAGCGGAAAGCAGCCTCCACATTCACCTTGGCCATCAAGGCCCCATTCCCGACCTTCTTAACCAACTCGACTGCATGGTAGAATGATGCATAGGAGACTGAGCACAGTTCCCTCAATGATGTTGTTCACATTTCGGGTGGAAGAGGTGGTGAATGAGACAAAACTTCCCAGGCTCCTTCTTTCGAACCACCTTGAGAGGCGACACCCGTAAGTTAGCCAGAGGAGGCACTACAAAAGGGCCTGCCATCCTGCCCCACTGTACCTCCTTCGCTAGATTCTCCCACCCACCTCCGCCACCGACCGCAGGTTGTGCAACCCCAGTGACCCCTCCCTGTCCCGGAAAGGAATGAAGAAACCCGATTCGAAACACGCTCGCAGCAAGTCCTTTACTGTTCCCATACAAATTATGTATTGTTTTTTTCAGAGAAGGGCTTCAGAGAAGGGCTTTCTTTACATACCATTATTTGTATCATTTCATATATTTTACTTAAAAAAAAAAAATATGGTGAAAAATTTAAAATAAAAAACATGTTTTTGGACTTTTACTTAAAAAATCTTTTACTTATCTACAAAAGCTAATGAAAAAATTACTAAGTAGATTCAAAATTTTGTCCTGAGTTTAAAAACACCCAGTGTC